ATGGCTTGGGTCTCACCCAGCTTTTAAGAGAGAAATCTGGGCTCTTGCAACTTCTGCTCACTCCTGGAATCACTGTTATAACACACCTTAAAAAAAAAATTAAAAAAATCAATCCTTCCCCTTCCAGCCCAGCACAGCTGTTTTCGGAGAACATGTTCTGAAACACTCCCCTAACCTCTCACTTTAATCCACAGATCTCTAAAAGGAGGAGGAAACATCATTACCCACTTCTTAAAGACAGGGGCAACTGAGGTCTAGGAAGGTGAAGTGGTTTGCCCAAGGTCACCAAGAAATCCAGTGGCAGAACTGGGCTGAATTCTGGCCAGTCCTAGCCCAGGGCTCTTACCTGCTGGAACAGGCTGCCATGAGAGTCTGCAGAATAAAAGGGAACCCCACAAATGGCCTGTGTGGATTTAGTGCTGAACCGTCAGCCCAGAAGAGGAAAGCCTTTGTTTTACTGCAGGATAGTAGAGCCTGGGCAGCTGCACCTAAACCTGACCCAGATGGGACTATTACCCTAGAGGGCAGGGATTTCAGTCTCTACAACCCCCTTAGCTTTTGGCCTATTGCTTCATCTGCCACTGAGACACAATCCACCTATACCCCCAGCTCCTAGGGACTGGAGAGAGACACTCCCCACCATACAACTTTTCAAGGGGTGCCTTGAGTCTAAAAGGTTGAGGCCCACTGCCATCAATTTAGCTGCATCACAAACACCTCTAATGATACCATCACCACAACAGTCCGCAGTGCTCAATTTGAACAAGCAGTTAAGCAGCAAAAGGCCCTAGGGCCCATGGCCAATTCCCCAGGTCTTGTACATTTGTGCATTTAATGCGAAAGCAGCACATCAGACTGAGCTAATAGTGACAACCTATGTGGCTGCACCTCAACACTGCCAGTGCCCTCAGTAAGCAAATGCATTCAGAGCCAAATTGCTGCAACCACTAAAAATCACCAGAGCTACGTCAGGAAGAAACAGGGACTTCTGTCCCTGTTGAAGGAGTTGGGGGCTGGACAACTAGAAAGACCCGCTTTCCTCTAGCACCAAACAGACCTGCTGCTTCCCCCCACACCCTCTGGGGCCCTTTGGGACTGCTCAGCCCGGCTTGCGCCTGCCCCGAGCTCCACATCCAGGGTCAGAGAGGGCAAGGGTGAGTGAGCACCCCGCTTCCTCGGCCCTTCCCGCCTGGCTCAGAACCCGGGACTCCCCCAGGCTGGACGGAGCTCCCGTTGCCCCCGAATGGCCAATGCAAACCCAGCCCCCGGTTCCTGAGCTGCGGCTGCTTGGGGAGAGGTGCAGGCAAAGCCCCCCCCCAGACTGGCGCAGCCCCTGCAGCGCGATTTTAAGCAAGAGGCCGTCGTGGCCATGGTGCGGCGCCTCCCGGCCTGCTCCCCGCAGCGCGACACGGAGGGACCCAGGCGCGGCTGCGCCTTCCCCTGCAGTCACTGAGCAGCAGCTCGGGGCAAGGCCAAGTGCAGCCCGGCCCCGGGGCCCGATGCGCATAACCCGGAGGGCTGGGACGTGCCCCGCGACTCCCCCCGCGGGCATCCGGCCGGAGCGGGGAGCGGAGGGCGGCGGGAGAGGCGGCCGAGCTG